AGCTTAGCATGTTTAATATTTCTGAAGTTTTACTTTTTTACCTCAGTATAGTTTTTTTTATCATTGGTCACCCTTTAGTTTGTTTTTGTTTTTTTGCCAACTTTTCTATTTTTTCTTGATTGATTTTAAAGAGAGGGAGAGAAAGAAACATTGATCTGCATGAGCCCTAACCAGGGATCAAACCTGCAACCTGGATATGTGCCCTGACCAGAAATTGAACCCTCCACCTTTTTGTGTACAGGAAGACACTCCAACCAACTGAACCACACCGGCCAGGGCTTTGCTAGCTTTTTATTGTGAAAAATTTCAAATATATAGAAAAATTTTAAAATACTATAATAAATATCCTTATCTACATTCAGTAGTTGTTTACTGAATCCTCACTAAGTTTCAAGAAAGCATTATTAGTGGATCTCATACTAAAATATACTACTTGAAAATAAGCTTAATTAGTGTGCTTAGAGGAAGTGATTAAAAAAAAAGTGATTCCTTTCATCTAAGCATTGTTCCAAGAGAAGATTGATGTCTCTCAATGTAGTAGAGCTTCACATTGTTTTGTCTGTGAAGAGAGTTTCAGTATTTGTTATCTAGTTACTTTTAAGTATTTGGATACTGCTTTGAAATTCCTGAATTCAAAGATGCCTCAAAACAGGATGGGAATTTGGTTTAAATCTCTAAGCTATAATGTATATAATATATTGGCTTTTCTTTTTGTTCTCTAATTCGATTTGGAAAGAAATCATGGGTAATATTTTGAACAACTTTATATTGCTGTCAACCAATGAAATTTAAGTTTAATAGGAAAGTTTCTTTTAATAAGTTTTTATTAGCGTTTGCTTAAGAATGAATGAATACCTTTTGCATTGTAATAATTTTGGGTTGATCATTACAAAGCAGTTGTAGGAGAGAGAAGTCTTAATACACATATATTAGCTTTCACTTGTTTTATGACTCCTTTCCTTTGTAAATATTGGCTTTTCCATTTTTAATATTTTGGCTGTTGTGTTTCGGTTTACATTTGTAGAGACTGTTGAAGCTATCTATATACCCATTCCAGCTAGTTTTTGTAGTTTTCCTCGAGTGCAGCTACCTTGCAAATTTGCCTAAAACTATATCTGTGGTGATGTTATACAACTGCCTTTGTCATAATTCATAGAACTGCACACCAAAGAGTGAATTTTACTTATGTAAATTAAAAAGTATATTTAAACTATAAGTATGTCAGGAAAAACAGTTGAAAGCCAGAGAGGTGGCAGACAACAGGTTTTTATTTGTTTACTTACTTTACTGGTGTAGAACTTGGGGAATTTTTGCCCACCAGTGTGGCTCAATTGGTTGTCCCAAATACCAAAAGGCTGCAGGTTCAATTCCCAGTCAGGGCACAAACTTAGGTGGTGGTTTCAATCCCCGGTAGGGGTGCATCTGGCTATGGGAAGGCAGCTGATGGATGTTTTTCTCTTTCTCTCGCCCTCCCCTCCTCTCTCTAAAATCAGTAAACGTCCTCAGGTGAGGATTAAAAAAAAACAACAAAAAAAAAACGGAAAATTTTAATTGGTGGGAAAACAGATTTTGGTGCTTCCAAACTGAGACATTTTTGGTATTCAGAAACAGTCAAAGGAAGAAATGAATCTTGGAAAACTTGTTTGCCTTTATACACTTAATTTGACATTGGTTAACCTGAAATTTTATGACTGAAAAATAATTTTGTTTACATGGTTTTCTGACATTAGTAGTGACTTCTATATTGGGAAAAAATAAGCCCCCAAAAGAGGAGCTATGTTCTTTAGTTTCTTCAAAGGAATAAGCTTTATTGATTTCTTCAGATTTTTGTTAGCTACCCTTTAAGGATCTAGAAATTCCTTTACTGTAAAGCATACTCTTAATATAATGAGACTGAAAAATCTTACTGTGTATTTTCATTTAAAACTTTTATTTTTTACTGATCTTAGAGGAAGGTTGGGGTGGGGGAGAGGGAGAGACAGAAACATCAGTGTGAGAGAGAAACATCAATTGGTTGCCTCCCACATGCATCCCAAACAGGGGTTGATCATAATTTTGATGTAATTTATAAAAAAGGGACTTTGCAAATAGTAATTTTTTTCTCTAGTTCATTTTAAGAGTTATAAGTTGATTATGGCTTTGGGAGGACCGTTTATTTCTAAATTTTCCTTGTTTTTGATCATACTTGATTGCCTTAAAATTCTGTTTGGCTCCTACTGCTGTATCCTCAGTTGTCTTCAGTTTCTCTTTGCCTTGAGTGCCCTTTTTCTCCTTCTCATTCCAACCATGTAGCCTTTGTTTTTTGTTTTTCTTTTATTTATTTAACATGCTTGAATAGGATTCTCTGAAAATATTAACCTTGCAAGGATAAGTAAATTAGGTTTACTTTATGGAATGCTACCCCTGCTACTTTCCTATTTCTACTACCTACTCCAGAATCTAGCCTCAGCATAGAATCCATACATAGTTGAAAGGTGGTAGTAGAAGTGATCAGGTATAGAATAGGACTAGGATCGGAGTATATTCAAAAGTTTTCCTTCTCTGTTCTAGAGAGTCAGTGTTTTACAGTTACTCGATAACTTCTCTTAGCACACCAGTCTTCACAGCTATTCTCTTCCCAATGCTCTTCAAAGGTTGTATGATTTTTATGTCACAAAGATTTTTCAGAAAAATCAGATCATCACATCTGCCATATGGCACTAAATTTGCTTTAATTCTACATGTATATCTTTAATAACTTAATATAAAACCATAAACTAATTAGCCCTGCAGGTTTATCTTATCTTTTAAATATCATTTATCTTCTGGATTGCAGATCTAATTATGACTCTTAAATTACTGTTAATAATTATTTACTTATTTTTTTATTATAAGATGGCCTACAGATTATTAGACCTTATTTTTTATTACTTTGGTGGTAAACATGATTTTTTATATATAAACATGATTTATGTATATGCATATGTGTATATATATATAAAACGAATATATATATATAATATATATATTCATTCCTAGGTGAAACTGAATGAGGACACACACAGATTATTTTAAAATTTTAGGGAATGAAGTTATAAATGTGCATATAAAACAATAAACTTGCATTGAGAAGCTTTTGTTTACATGTGTATAGTATATGGTAGGTATTTACTGTATTATAAATGAACAAACATTTTAAGATATTAATTTAAATAACAATGATAAACCCACTACATGTTAACAAATGATCTGTGAAAAGTAGCTTTCGAAACACATTAGTGAGAAGAGTGTCATTGCTTTACACATAGACCTTTAATGAATTACTGTTTAATAGAAGACATTTGGGGTCTTTTATCTGCCTCTGCTCTAAGTTCTTTTGGCTGAAACATACAAAGAAAATCAAATCTGGCCTTTTGCAGATATGAAGATGTTGAGGGGAGGAATATTTTAATAGCTTTTTCTGATAATTGTGGATCTTCTTCGGTACTATACCAAAACTCAATAAGTAGTCGTTTCTTTAAGTTGCAGTATGGAATCTGAAATCATATTTTTGAACATATTGGTCTTCATCTTTTATGATTTGTAACATGCATTGGTGATTTGAACCAGTTCATTCACTGTGTTGTGCAGATCTCCAAATTTTGACATACTTCATTATATACTAATCTTACTGCTCAGAGAAACCCCACATTTATTAATATCACCACTTATCTTATTAGAAAAGTCTTTAAGTAATGGGAAGCTATCAGGCTCTTAAGTGACAGACTGTGTCTTCCAAAGTCTAGTTTTCATTCAGCCTTTATCATTGGCAAGAAATACTGTCATTTTTTCCCCTTAAAGTGACAGGCTCATCTTGTTCATTTATAAGAAAATGTCTGGCAGATACCTAAATCTGAATGGCCATAGTTTTGTTATTTGTTCTTTAAAGTAAAAATGGTGTTCTGTGACAAAAGCAGTTGGTTCATTTCAGCTTGCAACTCAGTTACACAAGTGCTTTTCCTCCAGGCAGTTATCTGCTGGCGTGTGGCAGAAATGCTGTGTGTTTACTTCCTGTTTTCTCACACAAGGATCAAGATTTAATAAAACAAATACTTTTTACTGCTTCACCAAGAACATTCTTACATGAAACTGGCTACCCCCAGTTGATGTGGTGGTGAGGAATACAGACTGATAGGACAGAGTTCAGTACCACCTGTTGCCTTGTTTGATGCTTGCTACGGCTCCAGTTGGCGTCACCATTGCTTTCACAGTGTGGTGGTCAACATGGTGCCAAAAGCAAGTAATATCTCAGTATTACTATGAAAATAGTACTGACCTCATGGATGTTCTGAAAGAATCCTAGGGATACCCAGGTTTCTGCCCACCACATTTTGAAAATTGATGTTAAGACAGTACAAGATGGCTTTGATTACTGTTCTGGTGGTTTAAAAAACTGATTTAATTCTCTAGGGTAAAGAGTGAATTGCAACTCTCATTTTATCTTTTTACTAATCATGTTAATAATTGTTATTTTGCCTTTTAAATAGAAAAAAATGCCATTTTATAATAAGTCTGCATGAGAGTACATGCTTGGATTTTTATTTCTATGTTGCTTTCTTTTAAATACCACATTTTGTAATTGTGGGCCCAGACTAAAGAACTCTTTCTATTCAGACACTGAGTAGCATTGTTTCTGACAGCTAGTAGGCAGCTCTGTTTTGAAACAATCAATCGGGTGCTGCTGGCTCAACTTGCAGTTGTCCTAGTCCTAACCCGGTCTCAGCCAAAGCCTGTTGTTGGAAAGCCCACACAAGGGCCTTGTGTACAGGGAGCCCTACTAATAAGGAGTGTGTTCTAGTCCCAGCAGATTAAATCTGCTTTGGTGTGCATTCGCTTCCCAGATTTCTCACATTTCTTTTGTTTGCCTTATTTCAGTGAAAGATCATTTTTAATATCTATGAACATAGTTTCTTCTAATTATTATCTACTGCAAGTAGAGGGGATTACAGGAGGAAAATAAAATGTTTATTTCTCTATGGTAGGATGTGATGGAGCTGCTTGAAGAAGATCTTACGTGCCCAATCTGTTGCAGTCTGTTTGATGATCCTCGAGTTTTGCCTTGCTCACACAACTTCTGCAAAAAATGCTTAGAAGGGATCTTAGAGGGAACTGGGCGAAATTCATTGTGGAGGTCATCACCATTCAAGTGCCCCACATGCCGTAAGGAAACTTCAGCCTCAGGAGTCAATAGCCTGCAGGTTAATTACTCCCTGAAGGGTATTGTGGAGAAGTATAACAAGATCAAGATCTCTCCCAAAATGCCAGTGTGCAAAGGACACTTGGGGCAGCCTCTCAATATTTTCTGCCTCACTGATATGCAGCTGATTTGTGGAATCTGTGCTACACGTGGTGACCACACCAAACATGTCTTCTGTTCTATTGAAGATGCCTATGCTCAGGAAAGGGATGCCTTTGAATCCCTCTTTCAGACCTTTGAGACCTGGCGTCGGGGAGATGCTCTTTCTCGCTTGGATACCTTGGAAACTAACAAAAGGAAATCTCTACAGTTACTGACTAAAGATTCAGATAAAGTGAAGGAGTTTTTTGAGAAGTTACAACATACATTAGATCAAAAGAAGAATGAAATCCTGTCTGACTTTGAGACCATGAAACTTGCAGTTATGCAAGCCTATGACCCAGAGATTAACAAACTCAACACCATCTTACAGGAACAACGAATGGCCTTTAACATTGCTGAAGCCTTCAAAGACGTGTCAGAACCAATCATATTTCTACAGCAGATGCAGGAGTTCAGGGAGAAAATAAAAGTAATCAAGGAAACTCCTTTACCTCCCTCTAATTTGCCCACAAGCCCTTTAATGAAGAACTTTGATACCAGTCAGTGGGAAGACATAAAACTAGTAGATGTGGATAAACTTTCTTTGCCTCAAGACACTGGCACATTCATTAGCAAGATTCCCTGGAGCTTTTATAAGTTCTTTGTAGTAGTTGTTCTGCTTGGCCTTCTCATTTCCTTTGGTCCTACTATATTCCTAGAATGGTCTTTTTTTGATGAATTCTCAACCTGGAAAGACCATCTTTCACACTTCAGTTCGTATCTGACTAAATCACCTGATTTTGTAGAACAATCAGTTTTTTACTGGGAACAGGTAACAGATGGGTTTTTCATTTTCAGTGAAAGATTCAAGAATTTTACTTTGGTGGTGCTGAATAATGTGGCAGAATTTATGTGCAAATATAAACTATTATAAAATCTGTTTCACGTGCATAATTTGCTGTCTTTTGTTAGACATTAGAGAATAGAGGTGGTAGTTCACGTTTGGTCAAAGATTCCAGTCAGATATTTTCCTCCAAAAGTACTCCTTTCAAAAATAATGTCTTACATATGTTGTTAAGTAGCATAAAGATAAAAGTGAAATTTAATAGTACAGTCCTGAAGTTTCCTTCCTTCTTAAAGAGTGCTTTTGAAATAAGCATCTTACTCCCCAATATTGGTTGTGTTTATGCCATGTAAACAGGGGAGGTGAAAGAGCACATGATCTAATATTGTATTGATGAGGTAATAGTGATTGTTCACTGAAGCATGTAATAATAAAGACTACTCTTGTAAAGCAACTTTTTTTTTTTATTTTTTTTATTAGTGAACATTGTTTAAAAAAAAGAAATGGGTGGATTGGATTTCCAGATTTTTCTACTGTTGGTTAATTTTCTTTTTTGCTAAAATGTAAATCTCATGTAAATAAAAACTAGCATTTTCTTGTGATTTTCTTGTGTACATTTTTAGGAGGATGGAGATTGCAGCTTGCCATTTTCTCCTTAGGCAGTATAAATTTATCACTAAAGGAGTTTGGTGATAAACTATAGAAGTGTTAGGGGGCTGTATAATCAAAGGCATAAGTTAAAAAAAAAGTAACACATGGTAAAAGCAGGAAATGGGAAAGCCTCCTTTTACTGACAGCCAAGTGTGTTGTCCTAAGTTATGGCAACTGTACAACCAAACAACCCACTTGAATGACTTTTGACAATAGAGGAAACAATCTGTCAGCTACTATAAATTACAAAGTAATCACTAAATGTTAATGCTGTCCTATCTGTTCACATGAGATAAAGATGCCCTATCTCCTAAAGAATACTTAGTTTTCTTGTTTAGAATTAAAATGAAAACAAAAGTGACCTTATCTTAGAACTGCTCTCTAGTACACCTTATATCTATCATGGAACAAGACATATTTTTTAAATTTAAATTTTATTTTTGTTAATTCTTACCCAAGGATATTTTTCCATTGATTTTTAAATAGAGTAGGAGGAGAGAGAGAATCATCAATATGAGGGAGACACGATGAGTCCAACCTGGGTCAGGGAATTGAACCGGAGACCCTTTGGTCCGATGGCCCATGCTCTAACTGCTAAGCCAAACTGGCCATGGTGGAACAAGACATTTCTTTAAAAGTCCAGAGTGTCTTTACCCCAGTCCTTTAATTTGGTTGAGAGGAGAGAATACAAAGGGGACAGGGAAAAAAGATAGTAATGAAATTTAAAGTACAGAAGAATCATTCTAGTTACGAGAAGAATCAAATTAAGCTCCTAGTTTAGGTAATGTTTGTCTCATCAGTGATCGAAATTGCTAAAGGGATTGTAACAAATGACGTTTCTCTGTAAATCTTAACCTCTGCATTGAGGAATCAGTAGATAAGAGGACTGGGGGGAGAGTGCTTTTCTGCTCCCAGAATTTTTTTTTTTTTAAATACAGATTTACAATAGCTTTCCATGAATTTTTTTAATGGAATACAGAAAAGGGATCTGACATCTATGCTTAGATATATTGGCAGTTTTCCTTAAACGATCTAGTTTCTCATCTGTTGCTTTTTTATTTTGTATACTGCAAGTTCCCTAGCAACTCAAATTTGCAAACACAACTATGGACACACTATTTGCCTTACAGTAGTTACCTGGAAATCTAGGTCTCTGTTTTTTGTTATTTTTCCCTCCCCTCCACTTATTAATTATATATAACTAGCAACATTTATGGTTATAGTTTGATTTACAAGTTCCTAAGTCTGTGGTGAATGGTTTGTAGCCTCTAGTCTGAAGTGAGAAAAGAATGAGTAGTCAGGAATCGGTCACTTTGAATGTGGGAGGGAAGATATTCACAAGGTTTTCTACCATAAAGCAGTTCTCGGTTGACACAGATGTTAGATGGCAGAGACCAAGAATTCAAGATGGATGGTGGACAGAGATGGTGTTTTGTTTAGTTTCATCTTAAATTTTTTGAGAACTCAACAGCTTCTATTACCTACTGATTTTTCAGACTATCTTAGGCTTCAGAGAGAAGCTCTTTTCTATGAGGTTGATCCTCTGGTTGATCTCTTAAACCAAGAACTCCTGCTACAGCCAAGACCTGCTCTTGTGGAGGTACATTTCCTAAGCTGAAACACTAGCCTTTTTCAGGGTGTTTGTCTCTTGCAGCAAAACAACTGACATGCTAACTGGGAGGATTACAGTGTTTATAGAGCAACCTTCAGCACTGACCTGGAGTAGTAACTCTTGTCCTCCTCAGATGACCTTACTTCCATTGCCTCCACAAAAACCTTACCATGACCTGGTTTTCCAGTGTGGCTTGGACCGTGTTACTGACAACCAAATTGTAGTCAGGTATTGTACTTTGCAAATCTCTCTTCCATACCTGTTTCTGATAACTCCTCTCAAAACTGAAAATTTCTCATGCCTTAAACTTATCTTGGAAAAAATGATGACTCAAAATAATGTTTTGGGGTAACCAGCAAAGTTGGGTAGAATGACCAGATAATTATTGTCCAAACTGGGATACTTTTCCCAGTGAAAGAGGGTATTATTATGTGGGGCAATAGGAATAAACCAAGACTTTCCAGGGAAAATTAGGACTGTGGTCACTAAAGTTGTAGGAGGAAATAACTTTATAGATGATGTTCCATTGCTAATGAATTTGGCTTAGGAATGAAACACTTTAAAAAAAAATTTTTTTTTTAACCCCCAAGAGATTCTTTTAGTGGCTGGCATACAGTAAAGGCTCAATAGTTTGTTCTGATCTCCTCATACTCCATCTGTATTTGTTTTTTTGGGCCTTATGATGTGAGTACTGATTTTTCTCCATTCTATTCTATTTTTAAATACCATTGAGGCAGATACATCCCATGGCAAATCTGGTATCCTTTTATATCATTGGCACTCTTAGACAACTAAAAAATATTGGGATAGGCTGTCAGTATGTTAAGGATAGTTGCTCCTGAGTCACTCACTTTCTTCCCCTATTGTTTTTGGCTGAACCCTAAGGCTAATTTCCACTGTGCTGTCAGTATTTTTTTTTTCCTTAAAAATATCTTAATGCTGTCCCACCACTATTTTACTAGCTGTGAAAGTTGGCTTCAATTTTCAGGAGGAAAAAAAGTCTGCATATATATATTTTTTTATCCTCACCAGAGGACATTTTTGCATTTATCTTCAGACAGAGTGGGAAGGAGGGAGGAAAAGAGAGAGAAACATCAATGTAAGAGAGATGCATCGAGTGGTTACCACCCACACGACCCCAACCAGGGCTGGGGACAAACCGCAACTGAGGTACGTGCCCTTAGCGGGAATCAAACCCGGGACTCTTGAGTCTGCAGGCCGATACTCTAACCACTGAGAAAACTGGCCAGGGAAACATTTTTTGATATCTACTTTGTAATTTTATAATTCTTACATTTTATTATTGAATTGCTTTGTTTGCCCAGAATGATTTTCTAAATGTGAGCTACAATAAACCACTCTATTTCAATCATAATTAAAAGGAGGCTAGGGATATCTCCAAGGCTCTTTTTTTTTTTAATTATTTTTTTAATCCTCACCCAAGGACATTTTTTCATTTTTTGATCAGATAGAGCAGGAGGGAGACAGAGAAAGAGAGAGAGAGAGAGAGAGAGAGAGAGAGAAACAGCGACGTGAAAGGGACACATCGAGTGGCTGCCACCTGCACGACCCAGCCAGGGCCGGGGACAAACTGCAGCCAAGGTACATGCCCTTAGCAGGAACCGAACCCGGGTCTCTGGACTGCAGGCCGATGCTCTAACCGCTGAGCCAAACCGGTCAGGGCTCCAAGGCTCTTTTTAACCCATAAAACTACATATAGTTTAGGTTATAGCCTAGAACTAATTTAAGTTAGCCTCTTCTTCATATCTCATAGACAAATGGTGGATACAAAGACATTAAAATATCCTTGATGGTAAATAAAGAAGGAGTAATACAGCTGTGTCTATGTGAATATATTATGTTGACATTATTAAAGCCAACATATAACCAACCTTAAAAGTTCAGATACATTTTTCTTGAATTATGCAGTTGGTTCTATCGAATTTCCCAGGAAATAGCCAGAGGCCTTTTGACCCTGTTTTTTGTTTAGCAACACTAGACAGTTACTGAGTAAAAGTTGACAATAAAGTCTTCTTGACATTTTATATCTGCAAAATTTACCTGAAGAAAATGCATTTGACAGGAATAAGTCACAAAAGAAAATGTGTAATGTCAGTGATGATAATGGGTAAATGAGACTTAGGGGAAAAATTATAAATGTATAAAATGTTCAAAATGATCAGATTAATTTAATTAATTAAAACAATATTTAGTAAATTTAATTGTTTGACCAAATTGTTTGCTCCAGAAAAGTTTCTCAGTGAAAATTCATCAATGTCAGTTATATTCCTAAATGTAGAATTAAAGTGGAAATCAAGGTGTTTATTTTCAGTACTCCAAAATTACTGATTTGGATTTATAAATGAAGTGTCAAAAAAAATCTGATAAAAGATGGTATGATGCCTCTATGTGAGGTTTTAAGTCAAATTTATGTGTTTAGGTATTAAAGAGATGCTTTATAATTAAACATTTTTTTTGTGTGTGTCCTAGGTATGTTTCTATAAAACCTGATAACCGAAAATTGGCCAATGGAACTAATGTCCTTGGCTTATTGACTGATACTTTATTATTGGAAGGCTTCCATCTGTTCAGCACTAGAACAGTATCTTCTGAAGACAAGCTGAATGCTATAGTTTTGAAAGAATAAAAAGGCCTGAAGCTCTCGCCATGAGCAAAGCAGTGAAACCAGAGGCTGCCATCATGCCAGAGCAATCTCAGAAAAAGAAATGAGTTTTTTTGTTGTTGTTCTCTTTTAGAGTAAAGGCAAATTGCCATCTTCTTGTAAGGAGAAACCACTTTTTAGGGCATATGTGTTAGTCAAATATGTACGCAGCCTAACTTTTTGGCCTTGTCTCCTACTGTGCCATTTTTTGGGCAGCCACACATTAACAATGCTTAAGCCATTCTAACTGCTTGCTGCTTTCTGAACAACACTGTGTACTCGGTGCTTTGGCACATATTCCTTCCATCTTTGGTGCCTCTTTCTATTTTTCATGAATTTGTACATAGCTTTCAAAAATGGGCTCTGGAATCATACTGATTGATTTCTAATCCCAACTTAATCACTTACTAATTATATGACTTAGGCAAGTCATTTAACCTATTTGTCCCTCAGCTTCATCTATCAAATGGGAATAATAAATAATAATAATATCCTATATCTTATAGGATATATGAAGATTAAAGGAGATAACACACTCAACACCATTTCCTGGCATATGGTAGGCACTCAGTAACTACTAGTGATACTAATGAAGAAGATAGTCCTTTTCCTCTACATAGACTTATATACCATCATAAAAACAACTTTTTCTCACTTGAATATGAGCTCCATCCACTCAATAGTGTTAACATTATTATGTGTAAAGCACTGTGCTAAGTATTTAGTGAGAGGAATAATATCTTCATTACTAATTAACACATTTGGTGAAAGCTTTTTGAATAACCTCTACTAACATTTAAAATACACATATACTTTGACTTAGTGATTCCTCTTATAGGAATTCTTCTTTTTTATGTGTCATTTTAAACAGAATAAATATCTAGAAGAGGAATCATTAAGTCAAAGAGCACCAAGTACTTTGTGCATACATAACAGGGTTAAAATGCCATTGAGTGGAAGCAGTTGAACACCATTTTGAAAAGTACAGTTAACTCAGTCAACAATGTCGTTAAACATTTGTTGGACACTATACTAAGTTTTCAGGATTAAAAAATGAGTAAGAAAGAGATTCTTATTCTCAATTAAGAACGTACATTATCATAACAGTAAAAGATTAGAAATAAACACAAAGTTCACTGATAGGGAATGGGTAAATTATGGTTCATACAATAAAATACTATGTAGCTCTTAAAAAGAACAGGGCAGCAGTTCACAAACTGATAAGGACGAATTTTCAAATATTTATAAGGGGGAAAAAGCAAGATGCAGAATAATGTATAATGTAAAAAAAGATATATTTCCACTTCATAGTTTCCATTTGTGAAAATATAGATATACTCATTTTCTTATATATCCATGGAATTTTCGCAAAGATATGGGGTCACCTGTGGAGAGGGACTGGGTGAGTGGGGTTTAGGTATGGGAGAAGGGCTTACTTTTTACCAGGCCATGTAGATGTATTATCTATTAAGAAAAAAATAGTCATACCTGAAAGATCTGAAACATTGTGTGTGTGTGTGTGTGTGTATGTGTGTCAGAGTAAGGGAGACTGTTATGGTATAGTATGGCCTATTATCTCATATTGACACAAATTTTACTCTACCACCTTTCCTGTAAAACCCCTCCACTTAGTAAAGAAACTGCATTACAGACATTTCTAGTAATTACTTACAGATTTGTATACTAGGTTGTAGGGGAAAAATATCCTTTAAAAAAATTTTCCTAAGAGTACCTCAAAAGATTATGTATAATGTAAAAGTGCAAACTACTTTAAGATTAGTAATGTTAAGGTTAGCAATTGAAAATAATGACCCAAATAAAGAAAAAAATTTTTGCCTGGCTGGTGTGGCTCAGTGGACTGAGAGGTCCCTTTTTGATTCCTGGTGAGGGCACATGACCTGGTTGCAGGGGGCGTGCGGCAGGCAGCCGATGGATGTTTCTCTCTCACATTGATGTTTCTAACTCTCTTTGCTTTGCTCTCTCTCTAAAGAATGAATAAACACATATTTCCAAAAAAGAAAAAAAGCTTTATGAGTGTTTTGTTTTTGGTGTCACATGTCTTTTTTTTTTCTGCAGAAAAGCCAACAGCATGGAATGACCTGGAGACCATTATGCTAAGTGAAATAAGCCAGTCAGAGAAAGACAAATATCACATGATCTCACTTATATGTGGAATCTAATGAACAAAACAGAAACAGAGACATGAAAGCATGGAACAGACTGACAGATCTCAGAGGGATGGAGGGCAGGGGGTGGGGACTGGAAGAGATTAACCAATGAATTTATATGCATGTATGCATAGCCCAAGGACACAGATAATAGTGTGGTGAAGGCCTGGGGTCCATGGGGGCTAGGTGGAGGGGGAAAGGGTGGGGGAAATAGGGGATATCTATAATAATGTCAACAATTAAAAAAATAATAAAATAAAATTTCCTAACAGTACTTCAAAAGATTATCTATAACTTAAAAATGCAAAATACTTTAAGAGTAGTAATGTTAAGGTTAGCGACTGATAATAATCCAAATAAGAATAAAGAACTTTATGAATAAGCATTTTATTTTTGGTAGCACTTATCCTCTCTTTCCTGCAGAAAGCCAATTTAGTTGTTTTAGTGTGTCATCTTAGTCTTTGGGATGATGTGTTTGGTCTGATTCCCTTGCTAGCATCATATTCTAGGATACAATATTTCTATTCTGTTAAATTTTTGGCATGTATGTGATTTAACTAGTTGAGTGTAGTTGGCATGGTTATATATGTAACACTGTTTAATTTTCTATAGTGCTTTGCTGGTAAGATTATTAAAAACTGATAACTGACTAAAAATACTGAAACAAAAAATATTGTAACAGGAAATATTTGAACTGCTATTAATGTGTTCTTAGTCATTCACATTTGCAGAAAACTAGTTTGATGAGAAATGTTCTTTCTCGTGTGCTAATAAAAACATATTGCCTATGGAAACATTTATTAATTAATTCATTCAAAAAATATTTATTGACATTTGCTGTGTGTCAAATACTATTCTGGACTCTGGAGATATTGCAAAGAACAAAACAATACCTTCCCTTCTGGAGCTTACTACAAATATAACTCATAACATTGACAATGGGTTCAAATTAAAATTAAACCTTTTATTAGGTAGTGTCTAAAAGTCATGAGTTCACAATGTAGAGGTTTTTAGGAGAGAGACTGCCACACTTAAAAAAATATTCATTATAGTGGAAGTGTACTTGCAGAGTGGATTGAGTTTTTTATTTTAGTAAATATTTTAGAGATTATCTCATCTGGAAACACATCTGTCAAGATCACCTCAGTAAGCCTTTAGCGTTCACTCTAAAATAGAATGGGTCATTGTGATTGGAATGTGAGGACATGCAAAAAACTGAGTCTTGTTTAAGAAAGGGAGGCAGGCAAATGAAGTTAGAAGAAAACAGGTATGTGTTAGATGTACCACAGGTAAATTAAAAACTCTTGCTTGCTTTAGGGGAAAAAAGATTAACATTTTCTGGGCACCAGTTAACTCTTAACTTCTTGAATGAAATGACTGGTCAATTTTATTTTCAGTTATAAGAAAATAATGGTAGAAGTTTGTTTTTGCCAACCATGCTGAAAACTTTGTTCATCAAATCATATATACCTAACAATCCACTTCATATACACAAGTACGAATCATCACAATGACATGTTAATGTTTGTCAGTCTTAACTGTACCATCAATAGTTGGGCCTCCCTGTTCTCCCATTTCTCTTTTGTTTTAGCTTCTTTCCATCAACCACAGTTTCATTTCTGATAAGGCACTAAAGATTTTAGCTTATTCTTGCACCTCAACAATTTACCTTGTAAGAAATTGGAAGTTCTCCCTCAAAGATTTTCTGAAAAGAAGCTCTAGTGTTAAATTTTACTCTTAAATTTAATATACAAGTCATAAGAAAGAGTTCCTAGGGTATGTTAAAATAAGAATGAATTTGGGCTGCTTTGAAAATATATCTGAAGTCAGGAGACTAAAGTAATGTAAAATGGTAAAGGCAAAGCAGCTTGAGAAATCTGGTTTGGCAAATAATAGCTGTTTCTAATTTGTATTGTACACTATTTACATCTGACAAACTTTAGCTTCACTTTGTAAATTTTTGTATTGATACTCTATCATAAAATAGAGATGGTCACATCACTAGAGACTGCTGGGATAATAAAAGTCTTGTTAAGAGCACTCTAAATCTCCCATATTCTGTTATTTTTCCTCTATGTTGGGGAAGTTGACTCTGTAATAGCAAGTTTAGCAATGTAGAAGCCACTAAGGAAATAATTTTTTTTAAAAAATGAGGAAATTTTATTACCTTCCTGGAACCAAAGAAGCCATGAAAGAGAACAATATGACACCAAATTTAGTGTTTTAAACAAAACATAATTACCAGCTCTGCCATAGAACTACACCTCACGAATTATTTGGTCTTCTATTGGACCTACTAGAGATGAAAAGTTATGTACAAATTTCACCAGAAATCTCATCATCTCATAATTATTAAGCTTTGAAAATGCCTTAATATAAAGGATGACATAGATCCAACCACAGAAGTCTTTAAACAGATAACAAGCTAACACCTTACATGGTAAAAATGAAATGAGTAGTAAGCATGGCAAAGAATAAACAAGCGATAACATGCAGCAAAATAAAGAGGACTTCACTCCCAAAACTAAAATGTGCCTAAGACTTGTTTAATCAGAGAGAGCTTTTAGGTAGGCAACATTCAGCACCTTCAGATTTCATACTAGTATCTCAAGTCCAGAAATCATTGTTTCAAAGTGGCTTTTTACTCTATCAGTTGAGTAACCAAGTGTTACTCTCCATCACAGCCTGGCAAGGATTTGAGTTTCTTTAGGTTCCCAAGTTGGAAACCAAATAGGACAGGTTTGTCTCACCCTTCTTGTAATAAGAAACCCCAAGAAAGTCACTGCCATGTCTGAGGTTCCACAATTTTTTTTTTAATCCTCACCTGAGGCCACTTTTCCACTGATTTTCAGATGGGGGGTGGGTGGGGGGGAGAAACATTGATGTGAGAGAGATATACTGATTAGTTGCCTTCCACACGACTCTCACCAGGGCCGGGACCCAAACTACAACTGAGGCATGTGCCCTCGATGGAGATGGAATCTGTGACCCTTTGGTCCGTGGGTCGACGTTCTCTAATCGCTGAGCAAAACTGGCCAGGGCTCCAGAAGTTCTTTTTAAAATGAAGGCAGGGACTGTGCTTTATACTGTCTTTATATTCCCCCACAATGCTGGACATTCAACAGTCCAAACTGAACTGGAATAAAAAATTTGGAATGCTACAGTATCAGTGAACAGGCATTTGGAAAAACAAGAATTATAGTAAATTCAAAGATGGATGAGGATAGTTTATATAAAGAATCTGAAAGACTTGATTCAATTTCAAGACTACAGAAAAAAAATACCACCACCATAGTCTTTTTCTATAAGATGTTTACTTGGGTGATTACAAAGTGAGATAAGGCTGGCTGGTGTGACTCAGTGGTTGAGCACTGACCCATGCACCAAGAGGTCACCGGTTTGATTCCTGGTTAGGGCACACGCCCAGGTTGTGGGCCCGATCCCAGTTGGGGCATGCAGGAAGCGGCCAATCAATGTCCTCTCTCATCAATGTTTCTCTCTCTCTCTCCCTTCCTCTCTAAAATCAATAAAGAAAAATTAAAAAAAAAACAAAAACAAAATGAGATAAAAAATATAGATGTATAGAGAAATACTAACTAGTTGAAAATTACACAAAAGTATACATTTAATCAATAAAACAGCCCCGTCAAATTTGGAATATACAGAATTTCCTAATAAAAATGCAATGCTACAAGAGCGCTTAGTAATTAAATAAACATTAAAGGAATATGAGTTTGGAATGAATGTTATATGACTATGATGGATATTAAATCTTGACTTATCTCCATAAGAGAGTCATGAAAAAAGAGAGTAGAAGTCAGTAGGTCAGGCATTAAAGTTAGATGTAACTAGGATGGACATACAGAAAAAAATGTTCCCATTTCTGGATCACCTGATTTGAAGTCATAGATAGGTTGACTGAACTTGGATTAATCACATGGTTCAAGGATTGAAGTGAATTGGTCTAAAAGGTTCTGGTATACCCAGAAGACACATTACTGTGTTTAAAAGGCTGCTTGGAAGCACAAATTAAAATTTAAGGTTTTCTTACATATCATTAAAATAGAACATTAAAAATCAACTAAAGATACAGAATAATATGGTATTTCTGTCTAATGACATGCAACTATTTTTCATGGCAGGTAATAACTAGGTAAATAGAGCAAGGTACTTTGCTTTTCTAATAGGAATCCTACAAAACAAGGTTTAGCTCTTAGAAAAACAAAATATTTGCTTTCAAATAATTAAACAAATATTTTTATTTTATTATACGTATATATTTTTGCTTTGGTCATTTTTTAAACTCCTGCCTACAATTAAGCAGTACTGAGTTCCTAGTTGATTATCTTTGGCTAACACTTTTCTTCAGAAGCAAGCCTAATTTAGGGTGAGAAAGAGGAAAAAGTTCCAGACCTCTTAGAACCTTCATTTCCTCTTAACTGTGTTTCTCCATCAAAAACAAGTATTCAAAATAAGGAATCCCAATTATCTAAACCTTTTTTGGCTAGCTTCCGGAATTTCTTGTTATACCTCCTTCGAAATGCCATAGCTGTACTCTTGAAAAACTTGTCTTCCCGGTTTTCAAATTTCTGTTTATTATTATAGCTCTTCAGTCAGAATGCCAGGTCTTTGTGCTGTGCTATTTCTTGAAACTAGAGATCAGAACATTTCCCACAATTCAATTACTTGGCTTTTCAATTTGAGAAATTAAAGCCATGTCAATTTTACAAAGTTTTAACAGACTGAATTATTTGTATTTGAAATTCTCAATTTCATTCCTTCAATCTAATACTGGAAAAGATCTTTGTTTTACTAATGAAAGTAGAGGTTAAGGTTCAAGAATATTAACACATTTTAGTCACTGACAGTCATAACTGCTACAAATGTAGGGATTTTCTTACAGGCATAAGCTTGAGTTATGACACCCCCCCCCCCAAAAAGGGGGAGAGTTTTAATCCAATTTTGGAAATATTTATTTAAGATTACATACCTAATCTAATAATTTATCTACATAAATGTGTTTATATATTTCTTTTTAAAAGAAAGGGATTTTAAAAAATACCTTTTCATTGATGTTTTTAGAAAGAGAGGACGGGAGAGAGAGATAGAAACATTGACCTGAGAATCAATTGGCTGTCTCCTGCATGCCACCTACTGGGGATCGAGCCTGAAACCCAGGCATGTGCCCTGACCCAGAATTGAACCAGGACCTTAGTACATGGGACAATGCTCAATCCACTGAGCCACACCGGCCAGGCTTTTATCCAACTCATCATGCTGTTCCAGAATTTCTCCTTTTGAAATACCTTTATTCTTTCATCTCCATTCTCATTACCACTATACTGTTCAGGATTCCTTCATTCCTAGATTACTGCAATAGTCACATGCCAGTTTCCTTGTCACTAGAATTTATTTTTTAGAATCCTTCTATATATAATACTGCCACATTTAATTTCCAAAAATTCTATTACTTTGTCAAATTCCACTCTGTTATCTCAAGAGGCTGGGCTATGCTAACTCCCTATTTCTTGTAGTATCGAGAGTCAAGTTCTCTAATTGGTTTTCCAGGCAAAGGTCCAATAACTTAATTCTAATCTAGTTATCCAAATTCATGTAACCTTTGCCTTAGGTTTTAAGACAAAGGTCTCGAGTTACTTTTGGGGCAATATTGCATTGTATTTTGGCTTAAATTCTCATCCACAAACCAGTTCTCTACTTGACAACTCAGTGTATTTTAATTTACAAGCATACAGGCCACAAATTACAAAATGAAGACATTTATTTTTATTGAGTCAGCAGTGACAATTTTCTAATTCCCCTATAATTCCCAAAACTTACTTACGGTTTTGTGTTGAGGGGATCATCTCATGTGGAATATATTGCCCCTTCCCTAGAGTGATCTGTTGTCAGGCACTACTCAGTACTGACAATGTCTGTTTGCATCTTCCAGTCTCAATCCTTTCTCCATGTGCCTTAGGTACCCCTTGTATAGTCATTTCTAGTGGATAGTGTCAAAATACACACCTAGAAAACAGATTATAAAGTAAATCAATATACAGGGAAACTGCTTTGCCATAGGACCATTATTTAATTGCTGGTTAAGTTCCTGGCTTTTGGCTAAATGTTAGGCATAATTTATACCTAGATTCTGGAAAAGGCATGTCCCTTAGATTTTACATAAAAGCTCTTAGTGTACATGAAAATAAATCCTTATCACATTATGAATATGATTTAAATATCTAGAAGAAAACAAATGCTGCATATTTATCTACAAGTTTCTTTGCCTTCTTAGATTTCTTAAAGCTTTTCTTGGTGTGATATAATCTCTAATAAAATTGTCCAAAGTTTATAAAAAAAGCTATTCCACTCAATAAGGTAGCTCCAGTAAGCAGAGGTCAGAAGCATACCAGTTCTTTTGAGACTTACTTTAAAAAGCTGCAGCTAATACTCAATACATTTGTTTTTGTGATTATAATAAAGGTGTTTTTTTTTTTATCCTCACCCAAGGACATTTGTGCATCTATCTTCAGATAGAGTGGCGTGGGGGGGGGGGGGGGAGAAGAGAGAAACATTGACATGAGAGAGACACATTGAGTGGTTGCCACCTACATGACCCCAATTGGAGCCGGGGACAAACTGCAACTGAGGTACCTGCCCCTAGCAGAACCCGAGACTCTCTGGTCCGTGGGCTGATGCTCTAACCGCTGAGCCAAACCGGTCAAGGCTGGTAATGGTGTTTTTTGGAAAGTATATTTTAATGTAAGGACTTTTCATTCTGATAGTTCCAATCTCCTCAAACACACAAATAAAGGCCAACAAACAAACTACACTTTTCTGGAAATCTTTAGATGATCAGTTAGATCAGTAATGGTGATCAAAAAGGAATATTAAAATTTTACAGGCCTTCCAACTATTCATACCCCACCCACAGGTCTCTGACTTTAAAACATTTTGATGGGGGTGGGATTGGGAGGAGGGTGTCCATGGGGGAAAAAGGAGAAGAAACTGTAACAAAAATAAATTAATAAAAATAATTAAAAAACAAAAACATTTTGAAAGCCTGGCTGGTGTGGTTCAGTAGTTGAGTGTTGACCTATGCACCAAGAGGTTGCCAATGAGAAAAGCCCAGTAAGTAGTAAAAGGCAGAGAACTCCTAAACTACCAGGAAAGAGCGTAGATATTACACATTTATCTAGCTGGTATTTAGCCTTTCCAGAATATATTAATTTTATCATAAAGGCATTACTACTGATTTTCAGCAATTGTCATTTGTAAAGCACCTGCTATGTTAGGCAGGCTTGCAGAGTACATTATAAAAAATGAGCCCTGGTCAGTTTGGCTCAGCAGTTAGAGTATCGGCCTGTGGACCAGAGTCGCAGGTTCAATTCCAGCCAAGGGCACATACCTCAGTTGCAGTTCGGTCCCCAGCCCTGGTTGGGATTGTGCAGGAGGCAACCAGTTGATGTCCCACCCCACCCCCACTTCCCACTCTATCTGAAAATAAATGGAAAAAAATATTCTTGGTGAAGATTTAAAAAAGAAAAAATGATAGTACCTGCTCATAAGGCAGGATGTATTTATTGTTTTAAGTTAGGTATAGAAGCGCATGAGAAAACTATTTGTGGCTGGAAAGGAAAATGAACTAGGAAAATTTCATGCAGAGAGTAGATAGCTTAAGATTTAGACAGTTGAAGATGAAGGAAAGTATATTCTAGGAGTAAATAACTTGAGCTAAGGCTTGGATGCAAACTAGAATGGTCAGGAAAAGTATTTCCATTTGGCTTAACAGTACTTTGGTATTAATTTACAATAATTGGTAAAGTCAATCTCACTAGGGCAAAAAATATTGGGATAGAATTTTTCTATGCAACCCTTTCAAGATTTCTCACTTGATTTGTATAAAAGGCGTAAGATCCTCTGTTTAGGACAAAATTGTCTAATTAAGCCTAGATTTCCTCCCAATATTTTTTAAATCCTTACCTAAGGATTTTCTTATTGATTCTAGAGAGGCAGGGAGGAGGGAGGGAGGAAGAGAGGGAGAGAAACATTGATGTAACATCGATCGTTTGCCTCCTGTACACACTGGGGATGGAAACTGCAACCTGGGTATGTGCCTTGACAAGGACTCAAACCTGCAACCCTTTGGTACACAGGACAACACGCTAACCATTGAGCACACCAGCCAAGAATCCTTCCAGTATTTCTTACAAATTGTTTCTTCAAATCACCATACTTTGACTCTTGAAGGGCTCCAGGCAATCCAAATACGTTTTTCTTCTTTTAGAAATTAGGGCACCTTATGTAAAGGAAGGGAAACAATCTCAAACATGGATACACTAATTTTCCTACCCATTCCAATTCAAATTCTGCTTTCATTTAGTCTATCTTCTTAACTCTTTCCTACCTGATTATGCCTTGGTTGATGTTTTCTGCACTTGAGGTCTCCAATTCCTTCATTTCACTGAATTGATCTAATCCATTCTTTAAGCCTGGCTAATCTATCTCTAAATCTTCTCTGATGAGTCCAAGTCCACATTTCTTTCAGATTCTACTACACTTCAAGTCAGCAAGACAGACTTGACATTCCACTATTCTCTCTAGTTGTTTGCTGTATGTGAGTATAATGTTCCCATCTAGGCTAAAAGTTCTTTGCTGACAGAGACCCCCCCCCCCCTTTTTTTTTACTGTAGTGAAATACTGTGCATAGAATAGACCCATAATAATAATAAAAGATGTTCTCAAAAATACAAACAGAAAAAATTTAAGGCATTTTAAAGTAGTATTTAATAACTTTTTTTAAAAAAATTTTCTTTATTGATTTTAGAGAGAGAGGAAGGGAGAGGGAGAGATGGAAACATTGATGAGAGAGAACATCAATTGGCCGCCTCCTGCACGCCCCCCACTGGGGATTTGGCCCACAACCTGGGATGTGCCCTGCCCAGAAGCGAACCCGCAACCTCTTGGTGCATTGGTTGACACTCAACCACTGAGCCACACCGGCTGGGCTAATAACTGTTTTTGATAAAATAAAATTATATTCACTCTCATTTAGATTTTGAAACCCCAAATTATCACTTCAAATTTTTACACTATTCAAAAACAGATTTGCATGAGTAAAACTGCCCCACTCTACCACATGTACATAACCATGATTAAAACAAATCTGAAAATGTTTTCTATAATGGCAAAGTTAAACATATATACTTTTCAAGAGGTTTCCACATAAATGAGTTTACTTTTCCCTTTGCTTTAATCAGCAATATGTCAATATACAGAATTAATTGCAAAATGGATATAACAGGATGGGCAAAAGTAGGTTTACAGTTGTGAACATGCAAGTTTATTCTTGTATTATAATTATTACATTATTTTCCATACAAATAACTGTAAACCTACTTTTGCCCCACTCTGTATTGAAGGACAACTCTGTTCTAGGATTATAAAACGTTGGGACAAGACAAACAAATTCAACCTCTCAAGACTGAAGTCTAGAGAGACAGCAACTTGGTTAAGGTCACACAACTAACAGAACCATTCATAAGTATATGATCACACTAACTTCTCTGTGATAGGAACAGTTTAAGCTTCAGTATGCATTGTCATTTATACCTAAACACCTCATTAGCATAATATTCACAAATATGATCTTTATTTTACTGCATTATAAACCTTTGTTCTGCTTCATTTCATGGTCTTCTAAACCAGTGGGACAGTTACAGCTTTTCTTACATGCTTGTTATCGTAATAAAATGTACATTGATGACACTAAAGAGATTAGTATCAGAGGCAAGTGCTTCTGAAAAAAGTGACTTATTGGATAATGAATGGCTATACACACATTATTGAGAGAGACTGACACGATGGGAGGTTTCACTGTCAGAGACTTTAAAAATAAAGACAAAATGATAGACAATAATTTAGATTCTCATGTCTAGATTCATCAAATTAACCTAATGGACATTTTCACTTCTAATATCACTTGTTTTTCCACATTAGTTTTAATTCTTGTCTGAATTAAATTTAATTCTTTTGTTGTTGTTAATCCTCACCTGAGGATTTTTTTCCCCATTGATTTTTAGAGAGTGAGGAAGGAGGGGGAGAGGAACACCGATGTGAGAGACACACATTGATTAGGTTGCTTCCTGCACATGCCCCTACCAGGCTGGGGATTGAACCTGCTACCAAGGTACCTGTACTTAACAGGAAGTCAACCTGAGACCCTTCAGTGTGATGATCGAAGCTCTAACCACTGAGAAGCATTGGCCAGGGCTCTTGTATGAATTCTTAAATGAACCTTAATTTATTTCTTTAAACATAACTTTATTCAAATAATTTCTTTTCCATAGAAGCAAATAACAAAACCAAAGGCATAGTCTAAAAAGATTTAATCTAAAAAAAGTCATTTTACTGTTTTTTTGAAGACACTCATATTTTCAACTATGATAAATTACATACAAAAATACTGAATAGTAAAGGTATTCTGTGTGAAAACACAAAGCTCTAAAATTATAAAATTTGCTGTAAGAATTCTAAAAACTTTGTCTTACCTTCTAAACCACCATGTTAAGTAAATCAGTTAATTCATTCAATATTAATTTAAATGCTTATTAGATCTCTGTTATGTTAGATGTTTTAATTTTAATGTCCATATATCTGTAAAGAAATTGTTACTTGAAATAATATATCAGACACTAAAAATTATAAAGTATACAAATGAGTGAATTAAACTTAGGAAAATTTAAAGAGTATCATTTAATATAAAAGGATTATCATACTAAGACAGGAAATGAAACAAGATGAAAAATAAACTTATCCAAAGAAAGCAATTTCCAATTTGTTCAAACCTCTCTCCTGGGCTAATATTTATGCAGGATTTGACCAAAGATGAGATTTTAAGATGATCTCATCATTCTCATGCTTCCTTTCACAGGTCTCTGGATTCATTCAATTGAGCAATTATCTACCTAAAGCTAAGTGTTGGCACCGTGCCATGTGTTGTATTTTAGAATCTTGATGTCATAATCCTGTTCTATTGCCACAATACCTTAGGCTTTTTCCTTGTCTATAAATGAAGAGGGTAATGAATAGTATCTGGCAGCAAATAGTTAATTTTAGAAAACGTCTTTAAAAAGAATTTGAGTAGTAGACATTATCAAGTAAATTATCAAGAAATACATTTGTTAGCTATAAAACACCCAAATATTTTACTGACTGGTGGGTCATGCCTAATTTGGGAGGAATTAACTATGAAGAGCAACAGAGGCTACCAAGTGAAATTGACCCAAGAGGCTGCACACAGCAAGCAGGGTATTATGGCTAGAGATTCAATTCATTTGAGTGAGAATATCTTTAGGTCCCCCAAACAAATGGAGAGTCCAGAACCCAGATAATTTCCTGATGCAGGACAAAGCATCTGAACTCATGAATAAAACAGAAAAAAAAGCCATTAAACAATTTTAACACTTTTAAAAGTAATCAGTATTTTAAAAAACCCTGAATTATGAGACGGTTGCAAAGCTACCAAATACAAACCCACCTTTCACATTCTTTGGAAGGTGTCACTAACATTTTGAGCATTTTATGGCTTAAACATGTTAATTTTGTCTCCCCTATCTCTTGTTGGCTATAGGACAGAGGATGTAGATACAATCACTAACAGCATGAAATCTGCAATCAAACAGCCGGAGCTTGAATCCTGACCCCACTTACCAGTTATGTTATGTTAGGCATGCTATTTCCCTGTGACTCAGTTTCCTTACCTATAACATGATAATTATGTACCTCCACCATAAAGTGGTTATGAAAATTAAATGGGTTATTAAATCAAATTTTTGGCAAAGGACAATGTGTTAGTTATTATTTCTATCACTAATAGCAGCACCTAAAGCTTGGGTGGTTTCTATATGCACGTAAAAAAAATCAACTCTATGGGTATTAAAATGTTTTGAGTCATTTTCATTAAAATAACCACTCAAAATAAATAATAAATACTGGCCCATTTCCCAGAGGGGCAAATAAATATTAACATATGTACCAGGGCTAATGTTCATTATTGTATTTACCAGAGTAGTCTGAAAAGTACTTGAACTAAAAAAACTAAGAAGCCTGCCTTAAAAGATGTTTTCATAAAAAGTTACCTTTTCGGCCAAGTCATAACATTGTTTAATCAAATCTCAACAATGATTTGGGCTCAAAAGACTAGTAGATACATAGAATGATTATTTGATGCCAGAATCAACCAGACTTACTGCCAATTTCAGAGTGAGATTGAAGTCCCTGGGAATACCTCATTTAAATAATTAGCTGAGCACCTAGTATGTGCCTCGTAAGATGAGAAGCGCTCCAACTGAAATTCCTATATTTAACTACAGGAAGATAATTCAGAGTTGTAATTCTAAGCCCAAGCTATGACCCTTCAGTCTTATTAATATCCAAACACCCTTGAACATAAACATCAAAGAATGCCCCACTGATACTATGTATAACCCAAGTTTCCTCAAATCAAAACTGTATGACTAAAATTTTTCTGTAGAATTGACTCCTTCCTGTTAGTTCATCCAAATTCAACTTTATTCTCTTTTGAAGTCATAAGAGAAAGATGAAAACTAAATGGCCTTCAAAAGGTAACCCTCCTGAGCCCTTGCTGGGTAGCTCAGTTGGCTAGAGCACTGTCTCAATACACCAAGGTTGTGGGTTTGATTCCCAGTCAGGGCACATACAAGAACCAACCAATGAATGCATAAGTGGAACAAACTGATGTTGGTCTCTCTAAAATAAAGTAACCCTCCTTGAAAACAAATGCCAACTTATAAAAGCTTTTAGTATTTAAAAAATGTGTATGTTCCAATTCTAGTACTTAATGTTAATATTTTTATTATTTCATAGTTTCCAGACAACTGACATATGCTCCTGGAAACCTTGATCTTGAACCCTTTTGTAGATAATGTCAGTTCTGTTAAAACAACGATTATTTTCAGTAAAACCTGTCCTGAAACAAACAAACAAAAAATATTCAGAAGTTTTCCTATAATTTCCTTTAGTAAAGAAATCATCTTTTGTTAGCACACATTTTAATGGCAAGGATTTGTCCAAGATGATGTATTTTCATTTTAAATGTCTTTAAATCTTACCCCCCGCCCCCCATCACTTTTAAGGTTCTTGGTAAAGCAGTCCAACACATCCAGCTGGTATAAAACCCTGAAACTTGACTTCCGTTTTGTCATCCAGGGCAATATAGAATAAACAAGTCTAAAAGTATGTCTTTTCTGTTTCAATCACTCCTTAATACATTTAAACACCTATTTTCTCAATTCTCTGAATGCCCTCTAGTTAGTTAACCACCATACTCTACATGTGGGCCTGACATGGCCATACACACCAAGATTTCCAGTGAAGAGTGGTTTGAGGAAACAAGTATTTATTGGCACATAGCAATATGTTAACCCGAATAAATGAATTTCCATGCTAGTTTTTAAATTTGTTGAACCTTTAAACTCCAAATTAAATTATCTAATTTGGCTATCCAGAAACCAAGACCATCTGGTATTGCTGAAAATAAGATTATAGTGAAAGAGGTCTTTTTTTTCTTTTTAGAAATTTATTTTCTTAAAGAATATAGGAAGTATTACAAAATCATCACAAAATTTTCCTGAAGAGTGTAACTATGTAGAAAAAAATAAGTCACCAATTTTTAAAGCTCCAAATTCTTTGAGTTTTAGACAAACACATCTAAGAATCACCTACTCAAAAATGGCCCAATAAATATTATGGAGTTATTTGGTCCACAATACCTATTTTGATATTTTTCCTTTTTTTCTTCTTTAAAGAATGCAATACCCACTAAAATGTTGACAAGTGGCAAAGCAGGGTCTGACTTAAAATCTTGTACCACAGGCCTGTTTTGATGACCAACACCACTCTCCTCAGATTTTAGGCTCCCAAAGAAGTTTTTTTTAGCTAAGTTTCAGATTCTAAACCTGTCTTTCTAAATTAAACTACTAGTTCTTAAGAATGTTAGTTAAATTATAAAATATTAGCATGTGAGAAAAATAGGTTGAGACATACCATTTTGCTTACATTCTAAATGGGTCACTGTAACAGACAGCTCATACACTCTGAATTTATGTGTCATGTTTACATTTAACCATAGCGATGTTTGAACTTAAATGCCCACAATTATTCATAATTGTTTTTTGCATATAAATGTAAATCCCACTTTCCAAACAGCTCAGCTTTTTTAACTAATCAAGTATTTTCTTTTGTAATTGATTTTTTAGAGAGGAAGGGAGAGAGAGAAACACTGCCTCCTGCACGTCCCCTACTAGGGATGGAGCCTGAAACCCGGGAATTTACCCTGACCAGGAATTGAACTGGCACCTCAGTCCATGGGACAACGCTCAATCCACTAAGCCACACCAGCCAAATAGCTCAGCTTTCTGGTAAATCTGATGTGACTCGGGTACAAAAGAAACAGACTCATAATGTACTGATCTTAGATATCTCTTTTAAGCAAATCTTTAGCAGTATACATATTTCTGTAGTTATTTTCTTACTTTTCTGTTTAAAAACGCTTGCATCAGAATGCTTCTCACACTGTGGAAAGGTACCTAAAGGAATGATATGTAAGCGTGGCCAAGGAAGTGACAGGATAAACATGATGCATCTCCTCATATGCTCAAGTTTACTAAAATTTCTTGAGAAATTTTAGGTATTTAAATATTATGGAACAAATTCTATAATTCATGGTATTTCTCAGGTATATTTTAGATAAATGTAAAGAAAAAATTTCCGAGCTAGAACGTATCCTTTGTCTCTTCTCTACAGAAAGATGCTTCTTCTAGTCCCTGGCACAGTTATGAATCAGATTAAGAAAAAAAAATTTGCTAATCCAAGAATGTAACAAGAAGGAAATAATATAAATCAAACAATAGTAGTTGCCATTGGATGGTAAAACTGTAATTTTTTTACCCTTACCTGAGAACATTTTTCCATTTTTTGTTCAGATAGAGTGGGAGAGAGAAACATCAACATGAAAGGGACACATCAAGTGGTTGCCACCCGCATGACCCACCCAGGGCCGGGGACAAACTGCAACCGAGGTATGTGCCTTAGCGGGAACTGAACCCGGGTCTCTCTGGACCACAGGCTGACGCTCTAACCGCTAAGTGAAACTGGCCAGGGCTAAAACTGTAATTTTTAAATAGAATTTTCTGCCTTTTCCAAAGTTTCTATGCCCACGTATTACTTTTATGCTAGGAAAAATTAAACTTCTTTTTAAACAGAAAAACCCTTAATTTTTACATCCGAGTTTCATTGTGCTATTAAAGATACTATAAATCAGATTTTTCTTGACATAGTTTATTAATATAGTTTCAATATTAAAATAGATTTATATACTATTCCTTTTCTTATACTTACCTTTTGAGGTTTTGGGGGCTGGAAGAGAGGAGAATTAACAGCAAAACCTCTCAACAAATTCAAGAATCCTCTTTAACACTCCTTTGAAAACCTGGGTCTCTCAGGACCGCAGGCCGACGCTCTAACCGCTGAGCCAAACCAGCCAGGGCTAAAATGATCTTATTTTTGAAATGACTTAATTTTTGAAATTATCTGTTCAGTTCTTCCCATGATAGTTAATCCTTCATTATCACTTCTACAGCTCCTGAACCCTATAAAATTCCATTTACGGATTTCCAAAGGGGGTGATTACATGGTGCTAAGGCTGCTTCAAATAATTTTTATTTTTCAAGGATTTCTCACTCTCCTTAAAAACAAAACAAAAAAAACGTTCCCCCATTCACAAAAATCATATGTGCTTATTTATGATCCCCCCCCCCCCCGCCCCAACGAGACTAATCTCACATCCATAGTTAACCAGTAATAATAAGTTTAGCAACTGTATGCTGTTAATTAGTCTGTCCTATTTGGTAACTTTTCTCATTTAATCACAAACAACTTTCTAGTTCATTAATACACTTACATTAGTTAAAATTGGTGAATAATATTCCATTCAACATGTTAATCAGCTTTTTGTTAGATACTTAAAAAACTCTTTCCATCTTTTATTATCAACACTATAATAAACACATGGACTACTTCTTAAAAGAGTATATTTATTCATTGCTTTTACAATATTAGAAAATTAAAATAATTTATTCTTTTAATGTGCTAAAGTTCTAAAGATATATTATGGCTGGTCCAAACCTTATGTGATTTTATAGTTTTTCATATAACAGAAAAAAAAAACAACCTGATATCACTTGTCAGCATAAAATTAATATTTGAACTTTAGGACCTGACATTTAGTCTGATGTTTTGAAGTTCTGGATGTTTTAGTCCACCTGCCTTTTCTTCATTTTGTTTCTTAAATTTAAAATTTTTGTTCATATTGTTAATACATTTTAAAGGGTAATGTATGAATAAATGAGGCGCAATTAATGATAAAAGTGTTATGTTCCTGAGGTGTGTTAAGTGGGAGAATAAGGTTAAGAACTAGGGATATAAACTGTTCACACCATGGGAAGGAGGAATAATGCCAGACTTTTAAAGTCAGGAAACAGCACACAGTAGAAGTTTGGCTTGATTTTTCAAACTGCACAGAAATTACTTAGGGGGAGAACTGGGATGGTGAAATGGCATAAATAAAGGCACAGAGATAGAAAAACAAATGTACCAGTTCACTTGGAAAAAAATATGGGAAAACTTTAGAAAAGGTTGGGGCAAGATCATGAGGTACAAGCTAAGAAGTTTGAATTTTATCCAATAAAGAGCAGTGTTTTAAGAAGGTTGAATTAGTGGGATATACTGTAGCAGATGAATCAATTACAGGCAAAGAATTCCTCAGCTAAGATGCTGCAGAATAGGAATAAGTGAGAAATAATGAAGTACTTAACTATGGCAGCGACTCAAAGTTTGGAAGAGTCAAAAACAATGTTTGGGTAAGTGACAAACATGAACAAGTTCTATGTGTCCCTTGGAGCCATTAGCTTTGACTAAACTGGTCAAATGGAAAAACAATTTTAGAGCCATCAAAGTACAATTTGCAAAAACCTGATCATCACCTATACACCTATTAACCAGCCATTCAGACACTTTATATTCTAAATGGTCTCAAATGGAGGTTATTAACCTTAAGTCTGATTCTATTCTATTTACAAAGGTCAAATAGGCTTAGATGCAATCAACTGCATGAAAAATTAAATCTGTAGATTAAGCTAAAATTTTAAACAGTCACAAGATCTGGCCCCTATAAACTCTTCCATCCTATGAGCAACGGTTCTCTCTTATATAATTGACCTTGTATAATTACCTCCTTGCTTTCCTTTTAAACACCAAAAATGCTTGTCTCAAGGTCTTTTTGTAGTTGCTATATCATCTGCCTGAAAGCCTCTTCTTCAAGATATCTAATGGTTTGCTCCTTTATGGTTCAAATGTCATCTCTGCGAGGCATTTTCTCATACTATTTAAAAATGTCTCTCCTGCCTTCCAACCACCTTTATACCACTTCACTTCCACATCCTTAGGTTTATTTTTTCCATAGAGTCTATCACCATCTGATATGCCATGTATGGTACCTATCAGTTTTGTCTATTCTGTTACCCACACCTCACTCCCAAGATTGTAAGCTCTGTGTGGGCAGGCATTTGTTTTGTTCAGTGCTGATCATCAGCACCTACATAAAATACATTTGTACCTTTCGTTCTATATATGTGTTTAAATCTATTTTTAATATTCCTTGTCCAACATAAGCATTTTCACACTGCCAGAAAATACATGAAAATATAAACAAATAGAAAAATCTGTATAGACTATGTTAAAACTTACAAATTCTCTTAAGAAGTGATGTACTTAAACTTTCTCAATGTATACTACCTAATTACAAATACTCTACCTTCATTGCTTCAGGCTAAAATGGTATTTTAAACTACATGGAAACAACAAAAAAAACCCTACTTTATAGCTTACTATCAAATGCATTAAGTCCAGAAAAAAAATTTTAGTAGTACTATAAGAACTTATGGCCTTGAAATGTTACTTGTAAAATATAAGCATCACCAGAGATTATAAAACAACAAGATATAGAAGAAAACAAACTCCGGATTAAAAATTTCTACCATTTTCTAAAAATATTCTTTAATAGAATAATACATGCTAAGTGGTTAAATTATAAAACAAAGATATATGGAATACCTTTAATAACAAGTTAATTAAATTGAGGAACATTTAGTGTAAAAGTGGCTTAAAATTTTTTTCCCTCAGCACAATTTCTCAAACAAAATCTAACCCTACAGCATAACATAAATATAAACAAATAGGATTCTCCAGGCAGTTTACATTTTTTTCAAAACATAATGGTCTAATCATATGAAAATAGTAACTATCAGATTATTCAAAATCCTGCTAAATTAAGGGGAACCTGTGCTCATTAATATTCTAATCTAAGTGTATTACTCATGAAGTTTTTGCATAACTTGTATATATTAATAGTCAAGAAATATACCCAAATAGAAATTGTCAATGAATTTAATTTCAGTATAATTCAGACAATAAAAAGCAACTAACATGTCAACTTCCACAGTAATTTTAACAAAATAGGCTTAAACTTATTTATTTTGCCAAAATTTTCTTCATCACATATAGCCTTTAAAAAAAAAAAAGGACATCAGAAATCCATGAGATATATTTTATAATCAAACAAGGTAAGAATATAAACTCTTAAATTTCTGGTGGAGGAGTTAATTTTTTATTAAAGGGTCTCAAGTTGTTAGAAATAAAACAGAAAGTTTTCAATTGTAAACTAAAATTCCCTTGATAAAGAAGAAATAAGTATTTAGCTGGAAATGTACTGATGATGATCTCTTACTTCTTTTCCCAGATATGCAAGTATCTGTCTAAATACTTACAAGAGCCAAATCTACCTCAAAAGCTTAGGACATTAATTTTTCTCCCTTTTGTTAATACTCAATGAGAAACAACACTTAGAATAAAATATTTTGCATAAATAAAAAATAATAATATCCACCTACAAAAGGAAAAAAAAAATTAGAATGTCAACTTTTAAATAAATATATTACTCTAGAGATCAGTTTATGAAAGTGTAATCTTGCTCATCCAATTATACCTAAACTGGGTTTGTATCAATAATACTTAGTTGCTTAAAATGCCTATAATTGTGTAACAACCAAAGAATATAGAATGAAGAAAACCTACTGTTAAATATGGAATTTAGTTTAATGCTAAATTTTCAAATCTACTATCACATATCAAAACATATGTGATCTTAAGAGATTTGCATTTGAATATAAGATGCAAACTGAATTGTTGAATAAAATATTTCACTCACTGTCTCCTGGATACTTGCCTGTGGCCTCTGAGTTAGTGCCAAACTCAATCCATACTCCAAATAACAGGTTTAAGATGCTCAATACTGAAATTATTTGGCATTAACTTAGAAAGAAACCTGAATAAAAAAAATCAGAATTTTTTCACAAAGATGGAAAAAATGAAAACAATATACACCCATAGATAACTACTTATTCCTTACAAAATAAATAGCCAAATTAAGATTAACATTTTTATTATTTGTTCTTTATGTTTCAAAATTAGACAAAGATGGAAGTATATTAACTTTTATAAATAAAACTTCCAGTCCTGTTGAATTACTTCATGTGTTTCATCAGGTATTGACAAGTTAATAAAAGACTGGAAAGAAGCTGCATACTAATACAATAAATGTCAATGCAATCCTAGTCTTACTCTCCCAATATTTCAATTTTTCTCTAATCTATTCTCAGGATTAAAACATGAAAGTTTTCTTTTAGCTGTAATAGCCCCAAATGGTCCTTATTCACTCCTGGAGCACCTAGATATATTCACCTAGTAATTGTAAAATCCAAGTTTTCTCAGCCACTCAGAAAGCAGACTAAACTAAACACAATTTCCTAAAATCTGATTTCAAGTAAATTTAGAAAAACAGAAACAAAACAAAAAAAGAAATCTAACTCCTGAGGTATTCTGGAAAATACTGGACAAGCTATATAATTCATTCAGTAACTATTTCTAAGCATCTATGTGTTGGATCCTGAAATATTTTTAGTGAAACCAAAAACTATCATATATTTGTTACAGTCTTTCATAAAATGGTTGAAATGAAATAAAGGAAACAGGTTAAGAGCTTGATGAATGATTTATAAAAGCACCAGGTAATATTATTTCCATGTGAAAGCTGGCGTTTAATTCTAACAATATGGTGTACTGCTTCTTTATTTTGGGAAAAAAAATTGCCGGGGAAAAAAGTGAGATTGTTCTAAAATATGAGAGCTTTGTTTTGTATATTTTCTTTCTTTACCTTCATATTAGAATTTTAACAAAAGATACTTGAATACAATTCCTTAAATTACATCTGATATACTTTTACGGTTTCCAAAACTGACAATTAGAACTGGAAATGATTTGTTAAGAACTGTTTTTATTTTGTAGATTTTCTGCTTGGTTATATATTCCTGGCAGGAAAGAAAACCAGAAGTAAAGCATACCACACAAACACACTTGTCTTATTCTGAACATCAATTTTTACTTGAATAACTTAATAAAACACCAACAAATAAGGAATAAAACATTTTCCTTTAAATTTTAATTAAAATTTTTTACTGTTTGAATCTATAAAATTAATAACTACAATAATTTTTTATCTTATTATGAAGTTAAATTTTGGGATATAAAAAGCAAACAAGGATTTTATATTTTTGACTTATCAAACAAAAATCTTCAGCTAAGTGTTTAAAAAATATTTTAATAAGAGCAAGAAAAATATATGAGAGCATAAAGTTAGAAGGCATAGGATTAAGATACTAATCTGTCATATGTAGCAAATTACTTAATTTGAGTTGCTGTTTCCTAAATTACCCAAGGAATAGGTTAGTCATCTGTAAGATTTTTCTTACCTTTAAAATTATGATTAAGTACATTTGAGACCCAGGATGTCAGGAATTTAAATTCACATTTCACTACTTTCCTCCTTCCCTTATAAGGAAATATTTAGAAACATTACTAAATAGTCACCTAAATTCTGTCTAAAATATATACCTTATAATGTATATTTAACTGTGAGATAAGCAAATATCTTTAATTTCATTTTACTAGAGAAACAAAGGGAAAACAAATATTTTTGTTTAATCATAAGTATAAATCTGAATATTTACATTGAGTATAAATGTGCATTAAGATAAATTTATTTGTGTATAAGCTCTTTCAATAAACTCTTGATGACATTTAACACAATTATTAAATTGCAATTGCACTATTTAATATACATAATACATCTGAAAAGTTAGTCCTTATTTTTAGATTATAGAATCATATTCAACATAACAAGATTACCAATAATACTCAAACCACATTATCAATAAAACAGAAAGTTCATTAGTAATATTAATGTATATTAATATGACTGTAGAATATGGCCAACCTTACTTCAGCAGCACAGTTAATACTGGAGATAATTTTAGAATCTTAACGCCAATATTTACGTGCTGCTAAGGCACCGTTGACATCACTATCATAAGAGCTATGAATAAAAAGAAGTATATTTTCTGCAGAAGATCAGATCCTTGTATTTTTGAGGCAGCACAATATGGCCTGCACCTTTTCAAAACCCACAAACCATTATGTGCTGCTACTTTACTCCAAGGTTTTTTTTTTAAACACACATTAGCACCTAAAGATACAAAAATATTTTATTTTTAGAAAAAAGAAAAGAACAAAACCATTTAAAAACCCATGTTTAAAGATTCTAACATTGATGTGGTATGCATAATTAGTTGTATCTTAGAAGCTTTTAAGCAGCATAATTTCTACATCAAAAATTTAAGGAAAGCCAACTATGTGCAAAGCACACTGATATAATTAGGAACACAAAAATGCATAATATGAGGAAAAGAAAAGCATTTTCTGTGTCAGCTTAATAAGTCAATACAGTTAAATATTTAGTCAAATTTTTGAATGTACTAAATAGTTATTTTTTCCTTTCACAAAAAGAAAATTCGTAAAATCTGGTCTTTACCTTGGTAACAGCATAAATTACAAACATCATTTTATTCCTTGAAGTACACCTTTCAAAAGATATCTTCATCAAGGAGGTAAGACTTCATAACAAGAGAAAAATAAAAAGTGACATGCAAAAGCTCAGTTTCAATAAACTGAAGCTAGCAGAATGAAGTCACATGAAATATTTTAACACTAAATAAAGTAAAAATATACAAAAGACCCAAACAAATCAATTTTCTTTAATAATTTATGTTAAAAAACCCAAAAATTTTACCCTCAACATTTATCTCCCAGAAGTAATTCTAGAATGTAAAGTTTCAGAAAAATGAGTTAACTTTGTGCCCAGAGATGAGAAATAAAACAGGAAACCTGTGGCTCTTAATCTTTCTATCCCCTACCTGTCTCCACTCTTCACCAGGCAAAGAAATATACTTCTAAACAGTTTCCACTTACTCAGCTTTGGGGATGAAATTACGTTTTTCTCTGAAAGAAACCAGAAAACTGTCACCACTCCAGCTCAAATCTTGACAACCTCTTTTGCCCCCGTTTTCTCATTAATAAAATAGCTATGCTAAAGCTATAATACTTCTACAGAATAAGGTGATGTGCACTGAAATTTGTCCACTGCTTCTAAAAAAGCACAACTGTCCTACAGTCCACATTTTCTTTTTACTATTTTCACTATTAAGAAATATATGTAGCTAATCTCCTATCTGAGCAACCTGTTTCACATATTACTCTACTCTATTAGTGTTTCATTTCTGCACAATTTTTAATATGTAGCCAAAATAAATCTGTTTGCAGTAACATGAAAATACATAATACTTATTTGTATTTACTAATTACTTTAAGAAACTGTCCTTTAGGCTACCCTCTCCCTTCAAACCCACTTTCCAGACAAAAGGCACACACACTTTTCAGAAAAAAATGTAAGCATGACATTTTCAAATATGCAAAGTTTATATATACATTTTTTATTTAATAAATACTTTATTGAACACCTACTATGTGCTAGACATTGTTCCAGTTGTTACACTATTTGGTACACAAATGTACATACAAAATCCCTTCTAGAAAAAATTTAAAATCATTTAGATTGAGACAAAAATCATGAAATAACTATTCAAGATTCCATATCGTTATCTGATCCTGCTGCACAGACGTATATAGTAAATGACTATTCTAAAATCAAGAAAAAATAAATTGGATCATTTCAATTCCAATCCTTCCTTAAAAAAGCCCTCTATTAATTTTAAACTAAGCCAAATGTACCATGCTTGAAAGAAATAAATGTGAATACTGCAAAATGCAAATAGTTTTTAAAATCTTAAAAAAAAACCTGCACAGTAAGCATGTCATTTATTATTTTATTTCTTAAAACTGTAGTTAAACATACCTAACATAAATATTACCATTTTAAAGTGTCCAGTTCTATGGCATTAAGACCATTCACACTGTTGTATAACCACCACCACCTTCCATTCTCCAGAACCTTTTTATCTATACCAACTAAAACTATACTCATTCAACACGACCTATTCTTCCATCTCGACAACCTCTGAAAATCACTGTCTTTATAAATTTGCCATTCCCAGATATCTCATGTAAATGGAATCATATAATATGTCCTTTTTCATCTTAACTTTTTCAAGGTTAATTCATGTTGCTGCATATAGCAGACTCTCCTTTTCATGGCTTAGTATTTGTGTATGTACTACATATTGTTTATCTATCTATGGACATTTATTTAGATTGTTTTGATCTTCTGGTTATTGTTATTAATGCTGCTATGAACATGGTATACAAATCTGTTTGAGTACTGCTTTCAATTATTTTGGTTATATACCCAGAAGCAGTTATCACTGATTCATATGGTAATTCTATTTTTAATTTTTTGAGGAACTGCCATATTGTCTTCCACAGTAGCTGTACCATTTTACACTTCCATCAACAATGCACAGGGTTCCAATTTCTTCACATCTTTGCTAACGCTTATTTTCTCTTCATTTTTTTGATAATAGCCATTCCAATGGTGCAAAGCGTTACCTCATTGTGGTTTTGCTTTTCTTATTACAAATGATTAGTGATGTTGAGCATCTTTTGTATTTACTGGTCATTCGTGTAACTTCTTTGGAGAAATGTATATTAAAGTTCTTAGCTCATTTTTTAACTGTTTTTTTTTTGTTTGAGTTATAGTTCTTCATATATTCTGTATATTAACCCCTGATCAGATATGACTTGCAAATATTTTCTCCTATTCTGTATGCTGCTTTTTCACTGTTGATAGTGTCGTTTTATGCACAAAAGTTTACAATTTTGATGAAGTCCAACTTATCTTTTTGTTGTTATTGTTGCCTGTGCTTATGGTTTCATATCTAAGAAATCATCACCAAGTTCAATGCCATAAAGACTTCCCTATGTTTTCTAAAAGTTTTATAGTTTTAGTTCACGTTTAGATCTTTGATCCATTTTTTTTTTATTTTATCCTCACCTGAGGACATATTTTTATTGATTTTAGAGACAGAGGAAGGGGAAGGGAGAGGGACAGGAAGGGGGAGAGAGAGAGAGAGAGAGAGAGAGAAAGAAATATCGATCAGTTGCCTTCCATACATGCCCTAAAACTGGGGATCAAACCCAAAACCTTTTGGTGTACATGACGATGCTCCACACAGCCAGGGTTCTTTGATCCATTTTAAATTAATTTTTATATATGGTGTAAGTGTCCAACTTAATTCTTTTGCATGTGGGCATCAGTTTTCCCAACATCTTTACCCATTGAATATTCTTGGTACTTGTCAAAAGTTCTTTGAACATATATGCAAGGCTTTATTTCTGGGACCTTTAGTCTGTTCCACTGGTTTATATGTCAGTCTTTATGCCAATGCCACAGTGTTCGATTACCATGGCTTTACATTGTTTTGAAACCAGGAAGTGTGAGATTTCCAACTTTCGTTTTTTTCAAGACTGATTTGGCTATTTGATGTCCCTTGAGATTCCATATGAATTTTAAGATAGGTTTTATATTTCTGCAGAAAATGTCATTAGGATTTTGAAGGGGATTGTATTGAATCTGTAGATCACTTTCGGTAGTAATGTCATCTTAACAATAATACATCTTAACATCCCAATACATGAGCATGGGATGTCTTTCCAATTATTTGTGTTTTCTTTAACTTCTTTTAGCAATGTTTTATAGTTTGTAGTGTACATGTCTTTCACCATCTTGGTTAATTTTATTCATAACCATTTTATTCTTTTTCATGCTACTATAAATAGAATTTTCTTAATTTCTTTTTCGGATTGTTCCTTGTTAGTGAGTAGAAATGTAACTGATTTTTGAGTGTTGATTTTGTATCCTGTAATTTTCCTAAATTTGTTGTAAGGGGTGTGTGTAAAATCAAGGGTTTTCTACATATAAGATCATGTAATCTGTGAACAGAAATAATTTTACTTTATAAATCTTTTATACCTAAAATTGGTTCAAAAGCTATCTGGCAACATTGGCCCATTCATTCTCATTCTTCTAGAAAAACATCAGACAGGTTTCTCTTATCTCCCTTCAAATTTCCTGTATCTCCCCTTTCATTCTCACTTTCACTCAGAAAACAGAAACTATCGGAGAGTTTCTGCCAATTTTCACTACATCCAGCTCTACACGTATTTGTGCCCATATAATTCTTCCTTCTCTGTATTATGGATAAACCATCACTGTTTATGAGACCAATCCCTTCCCTTGTACACTAGATTGTATCCTCTCTTGCTTGCTGAAGGCTATTCCTCTAGCACTCTCTCTGCACCTTTCCTTTCTAGTGGATTATTCCTATCAGCAAACTTGCTATAACTACATCTTATTTCACACCGGCTGGGGCAAAGATTATTAGTTTCTGTGACAATACATACTGTAATTTTATCACCGATGTTTTAATAAACACCCTCAGAGGAAGATATTTTTCCTATTTTTATTTTGAACTATCTGAGATCATTAAAAATAGCTACTTTCTACTTGAAACTCTGATAAATTTAATCTAGTAGAATTTATTTTAATAACAGATAGAAATTCTTGATTTAAATTATTAATAAATTAAAAGATTTCAGTGGAACAATTCTAGCCAGACAGAGAAGGAACATCTCTTTACATGTTTCTGCTGTCCTGGCCAGTTTGGCTCAGTGATTAGAGAGTTGGCCTGGGGACGAAAGGGTCACAGATTTGATTCCCAATCAAGGGCACATACCTGGGTTGTAGGTTTGACCCCGGCCCTGGTTGGGGTCATGGGGAGGCAACCAAATTGACGTGTCTCTCTCAAGTTGATGTTTTTCTTTTTTGTCCCTCCTTCCCTTCCATCCTATCTTTAAAAAAAAAAAAATCAATAAAAAAATATCTTCAGATGAGGATTAACAACAACAACAAAAAGTTTCTGCTACTTTGTTGTTTAGCTACAATAAGTCAATAATAATTGCTTTCTTCAAGTATGCTTCAAATCCTGCACATAAACCTCGAAGAAGCTAGCTATATATAACGCCTGGGCCACAGAATGACTATCCTTGTTCAGAACAGTAGAGTACTATTTAAGTCATGATATACATGGTGGGACAAAAGTAGGTTTATAGTTGTGAGTACACAAAACAGAGTTTACTCTTGTAGTATTTTTAATTTTTCTATTATTTCCATATGAGCAACTGTAAACCTACTTTTGTCTTTCCCTGTATTATTATCCCAAAGAATACCTTTTTCTTTATTGATTTAGAGAGAGGAAGAGAGAGGGAGAAAGAGAGAGAGAGAGAAACATTGATGAGAGAACACAGACTAGCCGCCTCCTGCATGTCCCCCCCACTGGGGACCCAACCCACAACCTGGGCACGTGTTCTGACCAGGAATCAAACTGGTGACTTCTTGGTACATGGGTGGAAGCTCAACCAGTGAGCCAAACCAGCCGGGCCCAAAGAACATTTTAAATTAGCCATTCTCTAATATCTTTAAGCAAAGACCTAAATTATGGGGTCAAACCAAACAGCATGACAATTTCATTGAACATGGTCATTTTTTCATTACCCTATTAAAATACTGAAAGTTTTATGAAATGTACAAACATATAATAAAATTCACAAGCAACAAATTAAAATGTGCTTTGCTATTTTTACTTCTGTCTTTTGGATGTTAAGTGACTGAATACAAAAGGTTATATTACTACAGCAAATACTTTTAAAATTCAGTATTGTCAGGAGGCATGCAATGAAATAACATTCAGATACCCCAAAAATCTAATTTTTGCATTTAAGTCAACATAAAGCTGTATTGTTTCTATACGCCCTTGATTTTTTTTCTGATGGAGAAATTAACGAACAAATAATTACTCAGAAACTGTGTGAAGTAGATTTCAATTTAGATAATTTATCCTAGAAAGTTCAGGTTATTTATATATAAGCCCCAAAATGTTACCATTTTATTGCTAGAATCTCTTAACAATAGTTTTCTTATATACAAA